GCAAGTGGGCAAGTGGTCAAGTGGTGAGTCTAAGGTAGGCCCACGTTTTCAGACGAAGACAAGTGGCAAGGTCAACAGGTAGGACCTCAGTGCAACTGCACTGAGTCGACGGTACGACCGCCTACAGTCAGCAGAAGAGTCTAGAGAGTCCCAGTCCAGTCCAGCAAGTACCACAGGGGGACTGTGAGCACGAAGGGACGATGGCAAAGGGCAGACCAACGAGTTTCTGAAGTATAAATCAAGAGGCAGCGCCCAGCCATTYATTCATTCCTGCGGGGGAACCATGCGGAAGCGCTGCCTAGCGACTTGTGCAGGAGGTCTGCAGATGAGCCCGGAGGACGCAGTGGGCTAGAGAGAGAGGAAGTTAGTATAGCACTAGGGTTAGATGCAGTGACAGCTGCCATAGCTGTAATTAGCAGTGAGTGGGTGTGTAAGTRTTGGAGTGTTAGAGGGATGCGTGTGGGATATCCAGGGTGATCCAGTGTATGTGAACAGTGAGTTGTTTGGGCGCTGAAGTCGCCATAACTGATTGAGAGTGAACTCATATCTGAAGCCATATCTCTGAGTCTTGTGTGGGCGCATGTCGCCAGTATGCTGCGTTGCTGTTTACATGCATGAAAAGTGTGTTTGAAAACGAGTATGATTGCAGCATTCATATTCTCAATCTGGTTTGGAGGCTGTTGTCATGATACTTGTTCTAACATATGAATAGCTGTGCTCGTATTGTTCGGAATGACTGTGTGAATCCTTCTCTGCCTTTTTGCTTTTGTGTCATCGGTTGTGTGTGTGTGTGTGTGCGTGTGGGTGTTTGGGCTGGGGTGCAGCGGGGATGAGTCGGATGCTTATTTGAAAGAACAGAAGATGATGACTGGCAGGAGGCCGCCGTTTGCACTTAATGAGAGTTATGCCTATTCGCCGCATGGCGCAAGTGATCATCCTCATCGTGCTGATGAGGACGATGGTGGTGGGTGGGTTGAAGGGGAGGGTTTTACTACCTATGGATGGGGGGAGCAGATGGAAGTGGAGGCATTGGTAGTGCAGGGAGGTGGAAGAGGTGGCGAGGACGGGGAGAGTGATGTGGTTGGTGGTCGAGAATTCCCATCTGACGACAGTGGGGCGGAGGCGGACGGAGAGCCCACTTGTGGTGTAAGGCAAGGCACGACAGACGGTGGCAGGGGGGAGGGGGAAAGGTTTGATAGTCGGGGAGGAGGAAAGCCTGGTCAGCAGGATGAAGGAGAGACTGTGCAGGCACAGCCTGGTCGCAGGAGGCCTGAAGAAGAGCAGGAGAGAGGAAGGGACATTCCTGAGTATGGACCCGGGTCAGAAGAGGAGGAAGATGAGAAAGAATATGAGGTGCATGATGATGTGTGGTTGAAATCTCTATTGCCCGGGATTTCAGCAGAAATGAATGAGCTCAAGCCGTGGGAGCCGCCTGAACCCGATCATGAGTACATTCCACGGGATGTATGGGTGGATGATGAGGATGAGGATGACAGTTGGAGACAGTTGCCAGTAGCAGGAGCAGCAGCAGCAGCAGCAGCAGGAGGAGGCTTGTTGGTTGGGCCAATGGAGAGGGAGAAAGAGAAAGAGTCGTTATCGTCGTCATCATCTCTGGCTGGGATGGAGCATGAGCGTGGAGGCGAAGAGGTGAGGGAGGGAGACAAGGTGAGGGCAAAAGGGAAAGAGGCTTGGAGGGCATTGAGGGCGGTCATGGACAGTCACATTAGGGAACTTGTGGCTCAACTCTTGCAGTCTGCAGATCTGAAGGTCGCTGACGAAGGAGATGAGGAAGGGGGCTGGCTGGATGTGGTCTGTAAGTTGATAGCTCAAGCGGTCAGTCTCATTCGCCCTGAGACTGGGACGAATGTCATGCACCCGAAACACTTCGTGAAGATAAAGTCCATTGCCTCTGGAAAGAAAACAGAAAGGTATGCTTAGTTTACTCGTCACTTATGTTTTCGTGTGCTCGTTCGTTGTGAGCCAGTAGCTTGCCAGCTGATGCATTATGTTCCTGGGGTGATAGGAAGTAGAGATTTCGGTTCCCAGTCATCTTGACAGAAGGATCTGGACTGGGGGAAGAGGAAGGAGGTAAGGGTGCCGACGAACATAGACTATGCTTGCACGGAATAAGAGAGACTGGTCCCAGTCATGTTTGATGGAAGATTCTGGGATGGGGTAAGAGGAAGGAGGTAAGGGTGGCACTTGCTCTGGAGAGACTGTCCTTCAACCTTCCTTACCCTTGCTTAGTGTGGCTAATTCGTGGTAGTGGGATCTCGGCTTACAACTGACCAGGATGATCACTTATTGATCTGCATCCTTCTCCAAGGCTAAATTTTGAACTGGGGAAGTCACTTCGTGACGAGGTGCCGAGGCTCAGGTGGCAATTGAAGGGGGAGCCCCTTGGGAAGGGAGGCATCTTCTGGTACGTGGATTGCAGCATGTTTGTGCTAAATTGGTGTGTGCGCTGAGGTTGGAGTCCTTAGGGAGCTGTGTGCCATGTAGAATTGGTTTGCTGGTGATCGGTTGTGGTTGCAGTGGAGGGTGATCGGTTTGTTGGCATAGTTGCTTCCCTTGACCTTTTTTTCCAGCGTGGAAACCCTATTCTTATGCATGGCAGAGTGCTCTCTATGATGATGTGAATTCCCTGTGATGTCTGCTGCTCATTTATGTTGTCTTTTGTTCTGCAGGTTATAAGCGTCCAAGGTCGCTAACACAGTGCATATCCCTGCTTTCTTCCTTCGTTGATTGATGCATCGGTCTCCGTGGTGTTCCTTGCGCTGGGCAGCTGTGTGGTCAGAGGGATTGTTTGTTGAGTCGAAGGTCGCTAACACAGTGCATATCCCTGCTTTCTTCGTTTTGTTGATTTATGCATCGGTCTCCTTGTTCCTGGCGCTGGGCAGCTGTGTGGTCAGAGGGATTGTTTGTCGAAAGAACGTTGCTCATCGACGGATGATGGCCAGCCATAGGAATGCAAAGTTATTGTTGCTCGCTGGTGCGCTGGAATATCAGCGACCCTCTGACACACTTACGTCCCTGGACAGCTTATCAGAACAGGTGTGGTTGTATCTTCTCGTTCTATCTCATGCATGAAGATGCATTGGGCTCTTAAATGTGTGTGTGAAATCAATCTCAGTCAGCCTATCGGGGATAGGAAATGTGGAATAAAATGACTCTCTTCAATGTGTTTGTGAAATGAATCTCAGCCTATCATCGATTGGGGATGCGGAATGAATAGAGAAATGACAGAGGTTGTTAGATTGTCTTGATTGGTGAACCATCTGTTTGTAAACTTTTGACTAAGACTTGGCAAGCTGAAAAGTCTTCAGCAGAGGCATGTGTGGCATGCACCGATCCAACATGGGCCCTCTGAGCCGGGCATTGGACCAGTTTGGGCCCTGGGGTGCATGGATTTTCGTATTCGGTACCTCTAAGGGCCCTAACCACCATTTTGGGCCTCAACCAGGTAGGCGGAGTTGGGCCCGGGGTTCTGTATTTTTTTTTTTTTTTTGTTGGTCTGTTCTGTATGTTGCGTCTATGGGCATCACAGCACTACTCACCAAACACGTTTTTTGGTGAGGTTGGTGCTCCGCACTACCTCACCAGTTCCCTTTAGTCAGAAAGTGGTCTGAATTCATGCGGATTTTGCTTGTTGAGGGTTCACCAAAAGTGCACGAACTCCCAAGGGAGGGGTGCCTGCGATTCATCGATTTGGTAGGAGCTCTTTGGTGCACACGAGCTGGGCAAGGTTTCCACCCATCCAGACTGGTAGTCTGGACAGACATGTTCTTCTTTTCCTTCGTCTTTAGTCGGCCTGTTGGGGCACGATTCCTACAAAACAGAAGTTTGGTGAGATGGTGCGGCGAGGCCTGGGTTCGGTGACTTTTTGAGGCCTCACTGTATTTGTGAGAACTCACCAACCATTATAAAGTTTGGTGAGTAGTACGGCGAACCCCTATGCCACTTGGCGCTAGAATGGGCGAAGCTGGACCTCAGTCCTGCGGATGTGCTTCTGTGCAGCAGTAGGGGGCACAACGACATCAGAACAATGTAGAGAGCGGTCATTAAGACCATATTGATTTTCAGAAATGAGACGAGTTCTGAAGAAAGGCTGATACAGAAAAAAAAATTGGAAAGATTGTGAGTGAAATCCCATTCCATTAAAGGCAGCCAGTGGTATTTTGCTGGGACGCATATATGCATGTAAGGGCTCATGCTGTCTGGTGTGAAAAGAAATCTGCCCGACCTGCACCAATCTTTGTGTGGGGATATCCTCTGCCACTGGGCTGTTGCAGAGTACCCTGCTTTTTGACAGGCTCTTTTATGTTTCTAACGGCAGTCGTGTCACGACAGCTAAACCAAGTTGATGTGGGGATCTGTGGATTGTAGTCCCTCTCTTCCTCGGTCTACATAGTGTACGGGGTGGCATGCACTTCAGCTGGTTCTGTTGTGGTGATCACCTGACAACAGGCTCACAGAGAGGAGGTAGAGAAGACGAGAGGACTTGTTGTGTGTGTGACCATTGTGGGTGAAATGTGCATGCCCAGAGATAATGATAATTATGTTTTGGTCTATGAAACAGCTTCAAATGTGGACGGAAATGCAGGATGAGGTGTTTGGAGATGTTGGCCACTGATGGGATATGTTACAATACGTTAGGGAAAAGAAAAGCAGTGTTTACAGGACAGCGCTGATGTCAGTTTTGCATGCACGTCAAGCATTCTGTTTAGAAGTGGATGGCGAGATGAGGAGGTGGAGGGATGTGAAAAGGAAAGAGGAAGAACAATGAGCAGGAAAAGAATCAAAGATGAAGTGGGAATGGTGTGAAGGAGGCTGTTTTATGTCGGCAGAGTGCTCATCCGTGTTGTGGACCAGTACCCCTCTTGGTCAGAGCAGACAAGTGTGTCATTCACTGTTATCATCCCTGGTCTTATGACACTGGCACAGTTACTCTTGACTGTCAACATCATTTGCTGAAATGAAATGGCGGTTGTGGCCATAGGTGGAGAACACTGTCTGTCCTTTCCCTCTCTTTTGCACCTGTGAGCCAGATAGAGCATCTGACCAGTGTTGTATCACCTCTTCTTTGATGGTGTTATCTGCATGTGTGGTTCTTGTTCCCTGTGTCTGTTGTGTGTTCTGTTCGCATACTGTCTGTGTGTGCGCGCGTGCCGTGAGAGAGAGAGAGAGAGAGAATGATAAGAGGCATTGTGGTGTGAGAGAGAGAGAGAGAGAGAGAGAGAGAGAGAGAGAGAGAGAGAGAGAGAGAGAGAGAGAGAGAGAGAATGCTGGAGGATGTTTGGTGGTTTCATGGATGGGGGCTGGGGCGGGGAGATTGACATGTGCAGGAGAAGAACCAATTAAGTAAGGTATTTGCAAGGATTGCTGTCTCCAAACCTGATGTACTCCTTGTAGAGAAGACCGTATCACGTTATGCACAGGAGCGACTTCTGGAAGTGGAAATATCATTGGTAAGTATCTAGCCTCACTGAAGAAAGTACATTCGTAAGCACAGTAAGAAAGGTATCTTTCCAGCCATGCTATCATGCTCTGGGAATATTATGAAATCATGGGGATATATGCTGACTTTACTGCAATGGTGCCAAAGTTCCTCTGAAGTAATAAACTATGACCCCATACTTGGATATGGGTGCAAAGTTGCAAACACTGCAAAAGTTTTCATGTTGGAAAGGCCTAGGTCCTGTCGGGCACAAGGTCTTGGATTGGGGTGATGATCTTTTGCAAATGAAAGGAGACTTTGAGCATTTTTCTGAGAACCGTGAAGGGGTCCATGGGACGTGTAGAGCGAATGAAGGGGTTTTTAAGGGGTGTACCGGCCTGTCACGGTTTTTTAATGTCTGGAAAATCAGCCTTCCAGGTGTTTCATCAGCTGTCGTATGCACTGCCTGCACTGCACAAGTTCGGGCGACCCAAAGGATCCACCTTTGGGCCGATTTTGAAGACTTTGTAAGAGAAAATGACTGCCTGTAGTGACTTGCTGATGTTGAAACTCTGCATCAGCGCTCATCACTTTGTGCTGTGACTTCTCTGTCTTGTCTGTGTACCGATTATTTGCCCAGCTTTGTGTGCAAGGTTGTATGAGCTCTGCCAACACCAGAAATGTGTCCCTCGTTGCAACGTGAGAAATCAATGTCCCATTTGAGTGGCCGATAAAGACCTTCGCACCATGTCACTGCATCTCTGCCTGCTGTGTCTCTGTCAGATTCTTCATCTTCTTCAACCGGTTCACTGCATGATCCATGCTAGCTTAAATCTCACTGCTTGTTGGTCCTTGTGCATCAGCAAACTTTTTAAAGCAACATGAAGTTACTGGATAATGCAACTTGTCAATGCCCTCCGAAAAGCTATCATCGAAATAGAGGCTCTTGGCTTTGAGAAACAGGTGCCTCTGTTGATGCGTCATGATGGTTTCTTTCATTCTTCTGTCCTGAAGGGTATTAAGTGATGTCTTCTTGTTCTTTTGCAAGTGGTTTATGATGACTAAGTTGTCTGATTATATTGCACCCCACCCCTTGGGAGCTGTCTCTTATACACATCTAGATGTGTATAAGAGACAGGTTATTAAGTGATGTCTTCTTGTTCTTTTGCAAGTGGTTTATGATGACTAAGTTGTCTGATTATATTGCACCCCACCCCTTGGGAGTTCTTAAGGAACAAGTTGGAGTTCTTAAGGAACAAGTGACCGAGCCTGCGGTGGTTCGTGAAGAACTTGTTCACTTTATTGGTCTTATGCAGCATCTCGTCCACCCACACAATCTTTGTGAAGTCATGCAAGATCAGTATTATGTGTGTGGTGCATGGGATGCGGAACACTCCTTTGGACTCCACCGCCATTCCATGGGATGCGGAACACTCCTTTGGACTCCACCGCCATTCCATCAGCCGCCGTGCAAACTGGACCAACGGTCATGATGATCCCGACCATAGATTTCCCAACCATATGCTTTTGCTTCCAAGCCACAGCCCTGTATGAAAATGATGCCATCGCACTGATATGCGACTGTTGCCTACTTCTGTCCATTTGTCCATTTGGATCATGCAGCCAGTTGTCGGCCAATCCTTCTGCTTCACCCTTGCTCGCTCAACGCGTCCTTGGTGATCTGTGCCCTACTGCTCCTTCGGTATCACGTTTTGCATAGTGGGAAGTGGAGATGCGTTAAGGACGTGGGGGGGCTTTCCTCAGTGATGGCTCCATCTCATCCCAGTAGATTGTGCATCAAATTCAACAGGATGGTGCGGTAGGCCATGCAGTCATTAATCATGCGTTGCATCTGGGTGTAGTGTGTGATAACCCCTCCTTATGAGTCCAGGCCCACTTGCCATGAGGCTGAATGGTGGAGGCAGCAGGATTCCTCTTATTGACCATCTTCTCGACGAGGTAGGGAACCTTCCAGGGCCCTGCCTCACTCACATCCATTTTCAACGACATGCTGCCCAGCTCCGCAGACGCCTCATCTTTGCCTCTCTGTCGCCTTTCCCTCTTATCTGGCAGCCCACCCCTTATGTCGCCAGGTCCTATCTTCCACCCAGGAAATGTTGCCGGAGGCAAGTAAGTGTCCACCGGACAACACCGTCGCAATAATGGCATTGCCAGTTTTTGTTTCCCTTCTTGGATCTCTCACAATCCCGTAATATCAAGTGCTTTTTTCTTTTCACCGCCCCTGCAGCAGCCTGTGCGGGCATATGAGAAGCCAATTTGTTGGCAATCGAAGGTGGAGGACCACTGAGCAGGCGAGATGAAGCTGGCGAAGAGAAGGGGTAGGAGTGCTGAACTGGTCGGGGGAATCTGGGAGCGAGGGGTAGGAACGCAGAATAAGTCAGGGAAAGAAGGCAAAAAAAGGGGAAAGCAGTCCCAAAGCCTTGGGGGGGAACTGGCGGAGAGAGAGGGGATGATTGCCAGGACTAGGGGAGTGGTGTCCATGATCACAGGGGGGAGGGAAGGGGGTTGAAGAGTGCCAAATAGGAGGGGGGGAAATGGCAGAGAAAAGGGGGAGGAGTACCAAATGGGCAGGGGGAATATGGGCAGGGAAGGGAAGAGGACTACTGAACAGGCGGGGGGAAGCAGGGGAAGAGAAGGGGGGACAGTGCTGAACTGGCTGGGGGAAGCTGACGGGGTGAGGGGGAAGAGCGCTGAATAAGTGGGGGTAAGAAGCAGAAAGAAGGGGAAGGAGTGCTGATGCCTTTTGGGGAAACTGGTGGAGAGAGGGGAGATGGTTGCCACGATTAAGGAAGAGGTGTCAACAATGGGGGATGGAGTTTATGGACGTGGGGGGAAAAGAATGACAATCGAGGGAGACTCACAAAGATGGGAGGAGGGAAGTCTCAAAGATGGAAAGAGATAAGGTCGCAAAGGTGGAGGAAGAGATTGCAAAGGAGCAGGGAAAGTCAGATGGAAGATGTCATGGGCATTGGGGGGAGGGAGGTCGCAAGAGTTTTGAGGAGGGAAGTCGAGCAGACAAGGGGAAGAAGGTTGAAAAGACAAGGGGAGGGAGGTTGTGAAAAAGAAGGGCGGGGGAGGATATCCAGGAGATAGGGGGAGGGATGATGTGGAGATTTGCGGAGGGAGGATGGTGGAGAAAGAGGGGAATGGTTGCCAAGACTAGGGAAGAGGTGTCACAGTGCGGGATGGAGTTCATAGACCAGGGGGAGGACACAAATTGAGGGAGGGAAGTCTCAAAGATGGGGAGAGGTAAGGTCATAAATGTGGGGAAAGAGGTTGCAAAGGAGCGGGCGAAGTCATAAAGATCAGGGGAGGGAGACCATGAAGATGGGAAGGAGATGGAAGATATCATGAACATTCGGGGGGAGGGAGGGTCGCAAGAGTTGTGGGGAGTGAAAGTCGAGCAGACGAGGGAAAGGAGGTTGCAAAGATAAGGGAGGGAGGCTGTGAAGACGGGGAGGGAAGGAGGTCCATGAGATAGGGGGAGGGATGCTGCAGAGATGTGGGGAGGAAGGAGAGAAGTAGGAGATGTGGAGAAATAGAAGATGGTGGGAGGGAAGTTGTAAAGGCGGGGGGAGAGGTTGCGAAGATGGGGAAAGTGAGGTTGTGAAGAAAGGGGGGGGAGGTCACAATGATGGGGGAAGAGGTGGTAAAGTGGAGGAGGGAGGTTGAGGAGATATGGGGAGGGAGGCTGTGGAGATCGGGGGAGGAGGTCCAAGAGATAGGGGAAGGAGGCTGCGGATGTTTGGAGGGAGGTCATGGAGATGCAAAGTAGGAGATGTGGGGAGAAGAAAGTACATGGAACTCGCCATGGGGGAAGAGGTTGAAAAGATGGAAGGTTACAACGACTGGGGAAGAGGTGGTAAAAATGGAAGCAGGTCCAGGAGATTGGGGTAGGGAGGCTGCGGAAAGGGGGAAAAGGGGAAGGGAGGCTGTGGAGATTGGGGGGAAAGGTCCAGTAGACAGGGGGAGGCTGTGCAGATGTGGGAGGTGAGGTCCAGGAGATAGGGGGAGGGAGCCTGTGGAGATGTGGTAAGGGGGGTTACGGGGAGGGAGGATGCAGAGCTGTGGGGAGGGAGTTCATGGAGGTGCGGAGGGAACTAGTACTTGAAAAGGAGAAGATGGTAGGAGGGAAGGGAGGCTGCAGAGATTGGGGGCGGAAGGTCCAGTAGACAGGGGGAGGCTATGGGGGGCGGGGGGGATGTTCTCATGACGGGGGAAGGATGCTGCGGAGATTGGGGGAAAGGTCCAGTAGACAGGGGGAGGCTGTGGAGATGTGGGAGGTGAGGTCCAGGAGATAGGGGGAGGGAGCCCATGGAGATGTGGAAGGGGAGGTCCAGGGGTTAGGGGGAGGGAGGCTGCAGAGATGTGGGGATGGTGGTCATGAAGATGCTGAGGGAGGTAGTAGTCGGAGAGGAGAAGATGGTAGGAGGGAGGTCCCGAAGGTGGGGGAAGAGGTTGCAAAGTTGGGGGAAGGGAGGTGGCGAAGGCGGGAAGGCAGGTCAAAATGATCAAAGAAGAGGCGGTAAAAAATGAGGAGAAAGGTTCGGGAGATGGGGGGAGGGGGCTGTCGAGATGTGGGGAGGGAGGTCGTGGAGATGCGGAGCGAAGTAGAAGAGAAGTCGTGAAGGTTGGGGAAGACGTTGCAAAGATGGAATGTCACAATGATCGGGGGAGAGATGGTAAAGATGGAGGAGGGAGGTCCAGCAGATAGGGTGAGGGAGGCTGCGGAGATGTTGAGGGGGAGGTCCAGGAGGTTGGAGGATGGAGGCCGGGAAGATGTTGAAGGAGAGGTAAAGAGATGGGGAGAGAAGGCTGCGGAGATGTGGGGAACAAGGTCATGGAGATGAGGAGAGAAGTAGATGTGGGGAGGGAGGTCATGGAGATGCGGAGCGAAGTAGGACATGTGGAGCGAAGTAGGGAGCGAAGAAGATGGTGAGAGGGAAGTCGCGAAGGTGAGGGAAGAGGTTGCAAAATGGGGGAAGATGGGGAAGGCAGGTCATGATGATT